GAACTGATATTTCTACCCTATGTCTGGGTTACAAGAAATTCAGCCTAGGATAATCCAAGTGGACACTTACGATTCTAGGCACAGAAATCGTAAACCAATATGCTAGAGGATTCGGTGAAAGTATGATGAAAACGAGAGCTTAAGATCGTAACCCTCTTCTGAAGAGGAAGAACTGTTTATATATTAAACGAGATCAGGGTTTCATTAGGGTTGGGCCATCATTAGTTGCTTTGGAAGCAAGTAATGTTAATCCGAATTTAATGAGGATTTAAGGTTACCAAAACTAACGAGTTTCGTTAGTTTTACCATAATCACCCTAAAGAAATTGAATTTTCTACTATCTTCCCAGCCAGGGGCTCCACCCCTTGGACCCCGCTAGGTGCACTGCCCCTAGACCCTGCCAAAGGGGCGCTGTCCCTTTGCAAACCCCGGATCCAGGGGCGCTGCCTCAGACCCCCATCTAATCGTCGAACCGCCTTCTAATTCGATCTTATACATGTGTGCACTCCGCACAACCCCGTACATATATTAGAGTACAAATTATGAAACCCCTTGGCTCACATATTAGTTCCAGTTACTTATAATGACATTGTGACACTAAAATTACCAACATCTTGAGTTCTCCCCGCTTCCTCATGAAATGTATTGACCATAATCACCATTTAACGAATTACTTCAAATTTAGAACTATTACGAAATAAAAAAGGTCGTCCTCGTTCAACAAGACTAAAAAATTATAGGATATTAAAGAAGGAAGAAATGTCAATCTTTGTGGAACTTGTACGCAAACGGTGCATAATCGAAAATGATGTCCGTCTATACCAAGGTAGTTTAAAAAAATATTTTTATGGTATTTGTTGTGGTTAATTCCTATTATTATTATTATTATTATTACAGGTAAAAGTTTTTACCGGTTCAAGTTCAAGCTAATTGTGATGTTTTTTTTCTTTTGTAATAAACAATGTTGGAGTTTATTTTATGGTGTTTTTTTGTTATGTATCAAACAATAGTGAAGTTTTGATGTTTTTTATTGTATGTGAATTTTTGAGTTTTTGAATCTTAAAATATATTGCATTTTTAATTTTTGATGACAAAAATTTGATGGTAAAAAAAATTGTATAAGAAAAACGGATATTTAAAAAAAACAGAACATCTCCAAGAAGAAAGATAAAAGCCTCAAACATTCAAGATAATTGCAATCTTTGTAGACAAAGCAATCGTTATTTACTTTAATTATGCCCTTAATTACCATTTTGAAAGAATAAGATTATAGAAAAGAAATTTTCAAATAACAATAAAAAAAGAAAATGTTGATCCATATATTTGAAATTATTGATTTGGTTATTATCACTTTTTAGAAGGAAAAAAATGACAAATTTTAAAAACTCAACTAATGGAACCAACATGTAGGGTATATAAGATGTTTTAACCGGAAAATAGTTAGGTGTTGTTTGTTTTAGAAGTGGTTAAATATTTTTTGTTTTTTTTCAAGTTTGCGGAAGAAAGACGTGCACTTGCGAAACGTTTACCCGTCAAAAAAAATATATTCAAAAAGTACTTTTGTAGAAAAACAAACCGAGTCTTTAATGTCTTTGAACAATAAGATGAAGCTTGAAATCCAAAAACAATATTTTAGATATTGATTTTTTTTGGTTCACTTTAGGTTTTGTACAAAAACTAAACTGAATAGCATCAAAATGAAACTAAGCACTAAAAGGAAACTATTTATCACCATCTGAAAGGAAATTAATTGTCTAAAAAACTTTATGTATAAAATACGTTAAGTGTTTGAAGAGACAATGATTTTTTTTTTTTTTACGAAAAACTACCCATTTATTTAAAGATATAAAATTTCATATCATTCAATGGCTCATATCATAAGATAAATTAGAGATAAATTAGAGGTTACATCTTGTGCTATTTTATGAGAATTTTGTATGTACAATATGAGAAGAAACTATATTAGGATTACGTTTAATTATAAAAAGTTAAAAGATTTTGAAAAAAAATAAATAAATAAATAAGAAAAAAAATAATCATACGGGCTAATCATAGATTAAAAAAATACTTTCATATGGAAAAAAAATCATATATTGAAAAATACATTCATATCTTGTCGAATATATTTCTTTCTTCAATTTTTAGTCTTTTTTAAAAGCTTTTTTAGATGAGATTAAAAAATAAAATCACAATTCATAATAAAACAAATTATAAAATTGATAGTACTTTCTTTTTGTTATAACTACTTAAATAAGTCCATCCATTTTTATTATTTTCGCACAATTTTTTATAAATTTTATATTGATCCAATAACTTTATTATAATAATAATCTATTTTTCTATAAAAGAACTTAAAAGATTTTTAGAATAAAAATATTTTAAATGTATTTTATTGATAATTAACGAGTTATAGTATATATTATCTAACAAAAAATAAATTTAATATTTTGTAACCTATGATGACTCAAATAAAATCTGTCATCTTCAATAGAAGAATTAAATTCGAACAAATAAAGGGGTTTCATCAGTTATAAACTTAGGCATTTTATATAGCTTGAGAAATCGAATTAAAACCCTATAGGAATTGCAAAAAACGGTGAAGAAACGAAGGAGAAATCAGAGCTAAAAGTTCTTAAAATTTCCGGAGCTTTCTAACAAGTTAAGGTATGATTCTTTGATTTTTGTTTTGTATAGTCCTTTGATTAGGTTTAACATCTATACTTTGTGTTTTGGTTCCATTTAATGTCTCTATACGAGCCACTAAGAGTTGTGGATATGACATACCTTTTTTGGAGTAGTGGGGTCTAACAACGGCATTAATATTCTTGGCCAAACTCCACTTTTCAATGATATTTGCAAAAAACAGTGAAGAAACGAACGAGAAATCGGAGCTAAAAGTTCTTAAAATTTTCGGAGTTTTCTAACAAGTTAAGGTATGATTATTTGATTTTAGCTTGGTATAGTCATTTGATTAGGTTTATACATCTATACTTTGTGTTTTGGTTCCATTTAATGTCTCTATTAGAGCCACTAGGAGTTGTGGATATGTCATGCCATTTTTGGAGTAGCGGGGTCTAATAACGACATTAATGTTCTTGGCCAATCTCCACTAAGAGCATCTCAAGATTTGTGGATATGGCATGCTTTTTATGGAGTAGCGGGGCTTAACAACGACATTAATGTTCTTGGCCAATCTCCACTTTTCAACAATATTTGGACCGGCAAAGCACCTGATATGACGTTCACGGTGAACAGGCATGTGTACAAATACGATTACTACCTTAGTGATGAGATATATCCGGATTACGCTACATTGATGAAGGCATACTCTATTTCTTGAAGTGAAAAGACAAAGTTGTTTACAAAAAAACAGGAATCGGCGCGAAAGGATATCGAAAGAGCATTTAAAGTCCTTAAGTAGACATGACATGTAGTGAAATATGCTATACGACTTTGGGATAAAGAAAGAATTAAACGAACGGTCCTAGCATGTATTATAATGCATAATATGATTATTGAAGATGAAGGTTGAGCGATTTGCACGTATAATCTGAACGATGTTGTCATTCCAATTGAGGAGTTCGTATCCGGAATAAATGTGTTTTTAGAGCGAGTTGCTGAAATTCATAACAGTTACACGTGTTTCAATCTTCGAGAAGATATCGCGGAATATTTGTACCAGCGTAACATGAACGACGATTAGATTTTTTATATGTATGTTTGTTTTTTTTAATTAATGTAATAGTTTTTTTTCTAGATTAACTAAGTAATGTAGTTTGAAGTTGTAAATTTATTTTTATAATTAATGAAAAACTAGTTTAAAAATAAATGTTTTTGAATTATAAAAAATGTAATTTTATTGTATTTTTGTATTAAAAATAAATAAAAATAATGATGTGGAGTGATGTGTTAGTGGTAGGTATCACATGTTAGTGGTAGATGAATGTGGTGCTGATGTGTCTTCCACCACATATGCGGTATGTGGTAGGTATAATGGATGACCTAATAAACTTTGATGATTTTTTTTTTCAAAATCTATTTAGTTTTTTCTAAATAAAAAATATAATAAATGTTATAAAGTTTTTTGATATTTTGTATGCATCTAAAAATATATTTTCTTTTAGTACTATATTTTATTTTCTTTTTGAAGTATATAAATTGATGTAAAACACTAAAACTTATATTTATGTGTTATTCTAATGTTTTTGATTGATCTGTAACTTTTTTATGTATATTTTTAATATTTGAACTTGTAAATGTCAAATTTATGATTTATACATGTATTTATATGTAAGAAAATAAGAAAAAAGATGAAAATTATAAGTCAAATTTATGATTTATATATGTATTTATATGTAAGAAAATAAGAAAAAAAGATGAAAATTATAGAAATCGGTTAATCCGACAGTCGAACCTGTTAAATTGGAAACCGGTATTTAAAGCATTATGTTTAATTATATACTTACTTTCAAATTGTTTTACGTATTTCTAGTGATTTTTTTTTTTAAATAGCAAACTAATTTATTTCTAATAACTATTACTATCGTTCTGTCAAAGACCATTTGATGTTCCTAATGACTTAAATACTGTGTTCGTATAGTACCCGTTTCATATTTACTTTATTAAATACTGTAGTTTTAGAATCCATAATTTTTTTTCCATCTTACATTAAGATAGGCTTTTACAAACTAATCACAAGCGCAACCATTGATGCACTTTTAATACGTGATTATGTTGCATTTCAGTTTGATTATGTATTGTAATTAATAGTTCAATGATTTGTAGATTAATTTGCATAGCTTCATTTTCAGTTTGTGTGGTAGTATTGCCAATACGACATTCGTTTCGTTTGATCAACTGAAAACCAAAATTTTAATTTTTAATATACCACAGGAACATTTACACTAGAATTAAAGAAATGTTTTTGTGCGATTATATAATTCAACGTATATTTTGAGATCTTTACAATCAAGCAATTTACGAAGCTACCTCTCTTTTTGTTACCACAGTTTTACCCTATAATCACAATTTTCCGACACGATCTTTGACTTCTGGGTTAATTGATCAACAGCAACGTTACACTTGACGGTAACCGTTATCTCCCACGTTTTAACTGCACCAATTTTAATTTTCAGCGGAGCCTTAACCTTCAATCTTAATGGCACATTCCGTTTGCCCTGCTGTGATACCAATCGCGAGTGATCATCACGTGCTAAGACAATATTTGATCCCCTTAACGCCGTTTTGATTATCGTCACGTTATTCGTATGCTGTTGAAGCGTCGGTAACACACCGTTACATAAGTTAACGTCGGCGTAATACACGTTGACAGAGCTTCCTTTTCCGTTGTAGTACACCGAAAGCTTATCGTTAGGGTTTTCTGCTCTAATGTCAACAGTTATCCTTGGGAATATCGGCGCTGACGAAGTCAGGTTGACGCCTCCTATTGAAATGTTATCGATTGAATATTTCAACTTTTCTGGGGCGAAAAACCAAGTAGAGAATGCCAGTAGCAATTGCCAGGAGGATTATTAGAATCAATACGGTGGCGATTGTCCAACAGAGACAGCGGCAGCAGCAGCTCCGTCGAGGTTTTCGATTAGCAAGTTTTTTTTATTTTGTGAGAATTTTCAGGGGGAGGGATGCGGTAGATCTGATCTTTAGGGATCTGGATAACGTATGTTCCTTGCGGCAGTAGTGGCTTGTCGTCGGAGATAGGAGGCTTGACAGATTCAGGAAGCGGATGGGAGTGATCCGATGCAGCAGCTGGATGAACACGATCTGCCATTGTATAGTCGATTTGTGGGAAAGGTAAAATGAAATGAAGGATTGAAGTTTGTTTCGGAAATGGGAGATTGGAGTTGGGAGAGAGAATGGAGAGATATAGAGGGGAGGTGGTGGGTAGGCATGAAATAGGATTACAGTGAAGACTTAGCTGGTTTTGGGAAGATGGAGACCGCGTGGCAAGTGGCAACGACTTGCGCGTTCAACATTTTGTGTTTGGCCGGTTCTCTTTTATTAGTTTCACTATAAAGTAGAAACAATCCCAATTTTAAAGGCTTAAATATGTGTTTATATAAAATATTCGACTGCTTACATTGTGATTATAAAATTTGTGTTACCATGATTTACACAATTTGATTGCATATAATTGTTAAATAGATGAAGCGTCGATCATTTATATCTCGTGTAAATCCATTTTGCTTATTTATATATATAGATAGATATATCAAAATTACCATAAATAATAGGTCACTTGTTATATTTTATAATTTATAACTTTTTTCTTTTATTTTCTAAAAATGACATGTTTATTTTTTATTATTTTACATTAAAATTTAAATCTTAGAAATTAAATGTTATTTTAAGTCTCATAAAAATTAAGGGACAACGACGCAACGATCCTATTATGTATTTTGATTTTATATTTTCAGTTCCTAAAGTTTTTTTCGTGTCCGTTAAAGGAACAAAGTTGATGTCGATCTGTTTTTTTGATCACTGCGGCCTAATATACCAGGTTAAAGCTAATACGACTTATGATTTGGAATTTTTTTAATAAAAAAAGAGAATAACAAAAATTTTGACCCACCATCTCTCTTAAAGTTTTTCTTTTGGTTTCTTATATAAAGAATGACAAGCCTACATTGACACAAAAAAGAAGCAAACCCTCTTATCTTCCTCGAGTGGAAAAAGTTTATTTTCGAGTTGTCACTCCTGGTTTCTGCTCGAAGAAAATTGTGAAATCGAACAACACCAGTATTTGTTTGCTTGTTGATTCGATCATGGCTTGCTATCTCTCACTTGAAACCGAAAACTTTTCTTTCCCTGCTCAAGTGTACAACAGAGAGGTAATTAATTCAGCCCAAAATTAAGCACTTTGCCTTTTTCATGTCAAACATACTACATTTAAAACGAAAAATTGGCTTGAATTTCGTTCCAAATTTCAACAACATTCTTATCATAGCACAACCACTTACTACAAATATTCATTTACCGTTTCACATTTCTCGAAAAGCTTAAAACTTTACATCAATTTTGAATTTAAATACTACGTAGTTAACCTGTAACATCCTGATTTTCAAGAATGAATCTTAGGGATTTGTGCCCCAACTCGTCGTGTAGAAATCAAGAAGGATAGTGTATTCCGGAGAACCTACTCGACGAGTTGGAAGACCCAATTCGACAAGTTGAAGCTTATTATGAAAAACCCTAATTTTCAGGGTTTACATTCTATTTAAAGGACCTTAAGTCCTCCCTCCAACCTTCCTTACCACCTTTCACGTCCAGAGACAAACCTTAATCGAGCTAACCTCCTTTTGAATATGTGTGAGGCTAAAAGAGTGTGTGTTTGTTGCATTTCTTGAAGAGGCTTGAGTATTAAGAAGCTTGGAACGAGAAGGAGCTTGTAGATCCAACATCTACTTTGTTTTCGCATTCATTTGAAGGTAAAAAGTCATTACCTTGCTCATTTTCTTGTTAGGTATCTTCACTCAAGAGCTTAGGGTCATTTCTAGCTTATTCTCGAGGCATTTTTAGTGTTGAGCACGTTTTGAAGTGGGGAGTTCAGATCTGGACTCCTCTAGGCCCTTATGGACATAAAGTTCCTTACTTTAGCAAGCTTTGTCCCTTCTTCATGCCCTAAACCTCTTCCTAAGACTAGTTGTGGGTGTTTTAGTCTCTTGAATCCTTGCATGCACGTAAAGTTGGAAAGTTTACGTGATAACTACACCCTAGGAGGATAGATCTACAGTTTAGAGCCTTGGTTTCACTTAAAAGCGTCTAAATGAGAAATGGGCTGAAGGAACTCGACGATTTGCATAAGCCAATTCGATGAGTTGATGAGGGTTTTCCCGATCTTCTGGATACTGAAGAGTTTGACGAGTTAATCAGGCAACTCGGCGAGTTGACTCGAGTTTTCGGATTTGAAGTTCTGAAGTAACTCGACGAGTTACTCAGGTAACTCGGTGAGTTGTCCTTAGTTTTTGGTTTCTGAGATCTAGAGGAACTCGACGAGTCAGTGGATGAACTTGACGTGTTGGGTCAACATGGACTGTTGACTTTGACTTTGACCAAGGATTGACCAAGTTTGACTTCTGAGGGTATTTTGGTAATTTGAGATTTTAATGGAATCAGTTATATGATGGTTATAGGCAGTTGAGTTTGGAGCCAAGAGTTGGAGTTTGATCATCTTGATTTCAGCACTACTTTGTGAGGTGAGTTGTCCTCACTATACTAATAGGGTCGAAGGTACTTATGTCGGCCCTTTTTGGATGATTATCCTAGTTATTGCATGATGATATGCTTAGTAACCTGTTAGGTCGGTATCCGAGTATATAGGATGATGATATGTTAGTGACATGTTGGGTCGGTATCCTGGTATATAGGATCATGATATTGAAGGATTTTGAGCATTCTAACACTCCTAAGGTGTACATGCAACCCTATATACCTTAGATCTATGTTTTCTCTATTATACATGCAAACTTTCAATTTTCCAAGGTATCATCTTAACTAGCATATTGTAAAGTATATGTAATACAAAATTCTAGTTGAATGACATACCTTTTCTTGTAGCTTGATTCCTTAATCCTTTAAGATCCTAGCCCCCCAAGTGTGATGCCTCAAATGCTTGACACAACACCACCAACAAATAGAAGAACTTGAGAGAAGTTTACTTGCACTCAAAATCGACTAGCCCTCTTTCCTTTCACTTAAGTGCCGATTTTGGTAGCTATAGGGTCCTTTATATAGTGTGACATAACTAGGGTTACACCATGCAAACCCTAATGTGCATGACTTTCCACATTTTCTCATTCTCCATGGGTTTTAGCCTCCATGGAGTATCCATGGATCACCACCTGGGTTTAGCCCAACATAAGGATTATGAATCATAAGCCCACTTTATAAGAATGAATGGTTTACACAATCAATCCCCATTTATTTAATTAGTCTCTTTTGATCACAAAATTAATTCCAAATTAATTCTTGATGAATACTAATTAAATAATATGATTTCATATTAATATATTAGAACTTACAATATATCAACAAATCACAAATATCCTCTTCTCAAAAGTCCATCCTTATAAATTGTTCTGTGTCATGCAATCCAAATGGACCATGCTACTCTCGGGTCAAGTACATACCAATTATAGTTATGTGCTTAGACACTAAATCCAATAGTCTCCCACTTGGATAAGTCTAATAACTATATCTGCAAGTACGACTTAGAACACCGACTAGCAATCGTAGCTCTTAAAAGCCATCGTTGAACTGAGACGCTCCATTTTAGATAAGTGATCATATAATACTCTGTTCTCAAGATATCAGTTGGATAAATACATGGAACTACGTCATACTTATTGTCCAGCAGTTTGTTTCCCGATTTCAGATTTGTTTGACATAGAACTTAATCGAACACATCAATTTAGTTATGAGTGAGTCTGGCACATAAGTTAAAACAAAATCATTGAGGGGCCCAAGATATCGCTTTTAATCCTCCAAGGACTAAAAGGAATAGATAAACTTTGACTCATATGCTTGTACTAACTATTCATCAAATTGTACATAACAACATGTTTTATAGCATCAAGTTGCTGAAGCGGTTTCATACTATCAATGCACAACCAATTCATAGTCAACAACTCTTATCTCTTGGTTTGAAGACTTATATGATATTATCATCTCATGGTCACTCGAGATAAATTCCATGAAGTGATACAAGTGAGCATGAGTTTAATCCAATACTTAGACCTTATGAGCACTCATGAATATTGCAGCAAACTTTGCTATGTCTAATACCATTCATACACATCTACAAGCCAAATTCATGACAGTCTTGCTTCAATACCTATTGCCAATGTAGCGTCCCAAAAATGAAGGGTAAATATTTCATTTTTTAATACAGTCCAAATGTGTATGTATTTAAATCCAAACATTCCAAAAACATGATTAATTAAAAATATTCATCAGAGTTTATCCTAAAATCATTCATTGCGGAAATCGTAGGTGTGTGCACTGCAATCAACCCGAGACTTTCCTATCCAAAACGATGATACCTGAAACCATAAACAAAACCTGTAAGAACGAAGCTTAGTGACTTTCCTAGAGCATACCACACACACAATCCACATATCACATAACATGTTAGGTATAGAAGCTGCCTATAACACATAAGCCATGCATACAAAAAACCTGTAAGGATGTTGTAGGCTCTCTTCAGGGTCTTACACCATTGTGTCATGGGCTACCCCACATGATCTTAAACTAGGAATCTCATGGGCTACCCCACATGATCTTACATCTAATTGCCATGGGCTCCCTCCGGAGTCTTCGATGCAATAACATACATAATCACATAACATATCATATATCACAGAAATATCTCTACATAACACAAACATAAACTTGTAAGGATGTCGTGGGATCCCCCAAGGGTCTTACACAATTATGACATGGGCTAACCCACATGGTCTTAACTTAGGAATTCCATGGGCTACCCAACATGGTCTTACATCCAATTTCCACAGGCTCCCCCCGGGGTCTTACATGCAATAACGCACAATCACATAGCATATCAAATCACAGAAATGACTGACATATATACCATAGTCACATAATGGGCCGGCCTTGGTACCTTAGACCCATAGGTATGGTGAGAAGACTCACCTCGCACTGCTGAAGTCCCACAAATAAACTCAAGCTACTGGTTGATAGGTTCCCAAACTGTCAATCATCAAAACGACACCCAGTTAATAATTGGGTTCCAACATACAACCATAATCTACA